AATATGGTATTGGAACTGACCCTGTATATAGTCCCCTTACCCCTATATAAATCTACCTCCATCACTCCAGTATCCCTGCACATTGTTAATATGGTATTGGAACTGACCCTGTATATAGTCCCCTTACCCCTATACAAATCTACCTCCATCACTCCAGTATCCCTGCACATTGTTAATATGGTATTGGAACTGACCCTGTATATAGTCCCCTTACCCCTATACAAATCTACCTCCATCACTCCAGTATCCCTGCACATTGTTAATATGGTATTGGAACTGACCCTGTATATAGTCCCCTTACCCCTATACATATCTACCTCCATCACTCCAGTATCCCTGCACATTGTTAATATGGTATTGGAACTGACCCTGTATATAGTCCCCTTACCCCTATACATATCTACCTCCATCACTCCAGTATCCCTGCACATTGTTAATATGGTACTGGAACTGACCCTGTATATAGTCACCTGACCCCTATACATATCTACCTCCATCACTCCAGTATCCCTGCACATTGTTAATATGGTATGGAACTGACCCTGTATATAGTCACCTGACCCCTATACATATCTACCTCCATCACTCCAGTATCCCTGTCCCCTGACCCCTATACATATCTACCTCCATCACTCCAGTATCCCTGTCCCCTTACCCCTATACATATCTACCTCCATCACTCCGGTATCCCTGTCCCCTGACCCCTATACATATCTACCTCCATCACTCCAGTATCCCTGTCCCCTGACCCCTATACATATCTACCTCCATCACTCCAGTATCCCTCCATATTGTTAATATGGTACTGGAACTGACCCTGTATATAGTCCCCTTACCCCTATACATATCTACCTCCATCACTCCAGTATCCCTGCACATTGTTAATATGGTATTGGAACTGACCCTGTATATAGTCCCCTTACCCCTATATAAATCTACCTCCATCACTCCAGTATCCCTGCACATTGTTAATATGGTATTGGAACTGACCCTGTATATAGTCCCCTTACCCCTATACAAATCTACCTCCATCACTCCAGTATCCCTGCACATTGTTAATATGGTACTGGAACTGACCCTGTATATAGTCCCCTTACCCCTATACAAATCTACCTCCATCACTCCAGTATCCCTGCACATTGTTAATATGGTACTGGAACTGACCCTGTATATAGTCCCCTTACCCCTATATAAATCTACCTCCATCACTCCAGTATCCCTGCACATTGTTAATATGGTATTGGAACTGACCCTGTATATAGTCCCCTTACCCCTATACAAATCTACCTCCATCACTCCAGTATCCCTGCACATTGTTAATATGGTATTGGAACTGACCCTGTATATAGTCCCCTTACCCCTATACATATCTACCTCCATCACTCCAGTATCCCTGCACATTGTTAATATGGTATTGGAACTGACCCTGTATATAGTCCCCTTACCCCTATACAAATCTACCTCCATCACTCCAGTATCCCTGCACATTGTTAATATGGTATTGGAACTGACCCTGTATATAGTCCCCTTACCCCTATACATATCTACCTCCATCACTCCAGTATCCCTGCACATTGTTAATATGGTATTGGAACTGACCCTGTATATAGTCACCTTACCCCTATACATATCTACCTCCATCACTCCAGCATCCCTGCACATTGTTAATATGGTATTGGAACTGACCCTGTATATAGTCCCCTTACCCCTATACATATCTACCTCCATCACTCCAGTATCCCTGCACATTGTTAATATGGTATTGGAACTGACCCTGTATATAGTCCCCTTACCCCTATACATATCTACCTCCATCACTCCAGTATCCCTGCACATTGTTAATATGGTACTGGAACTGACCCTGTATATAGTCACCTGACCCCTATACATATCTACCTCCATCACTCCAGTATCCCTGCACATTGTTAATATGGTATGGAACTGACCCTGTATATAGTCACCTGACCCCTATACATATCTACCTCCATCACTCCAGTATCCCTGTCCCCTGACCCCTATACATATCTACCTCCATCACTCCAGTATCCCTGTCCCCTTACCCCTATACATATCTACCTCCATCACTCCGGTATCCCTGTCCCCTGACCCCTATACATATCTACCTCCATCACTCCAGTATCCCTGTCCCCTGACCCCTATACATATCTACCTCCATCACTCCAGTATCCCTCCATATTGTTAATATGGTACTGGAACTGACCCTGTATATAGTCCCCTTACCCCTATACATATCTACCTCCATCACTCCAGTATCCCTGCACATTGTTAATATGGTATTGGAACTGACCCTGTATATAGTCCCCTTACCCCTATATAAATCTACCTCCATCACTCCAGTATCCCTGCACATTGTTAATATGGTATTGGAACTGACCCTGTATATAGTCCCCTTACCCCTATACAAATCTACCTCCATCACTCCAGTATCCCTGCACATTGTTAATATGGTACTGGAACTGACCCTGTATATAGTCCCCTTACCCCTATACAAATCTACCTCCATCACTCCAGTATCCCTGCACATTGTTAATATGGTACTGGAACTGACCCTGTATATAGTCCCCTTACCCCTATACATATCTACCTCCATCACTCCAGTATCCCTGCACATTGTTAATATGGTATTGGAACTGACCCTGTATATAGTCACCTGAACCCTATACATATCTACCTCCATCACTCCAGTATCCCTGCACATTGTTAATATGGTACTGGAACTGACCCTGTATATAGTCCCCTGACCCCTATACATATCTACCTCCATCACTCCAGTCTCCCTGCACATTGTTAATATGGTATTGGAACTGACCCTGTATATAGTCCCCTTACCCCTATACATATCTACCTCCATCACTCCAGTATCCCTGCACATTGTTAATATGGTATTGGAACTGACCCTGTATATAGTCACCTTACCCCTATACATATCTACCTCTATCACTCCAGTATCCCTGCACATTGTTAATATGGTACTGGAACTGACCCTGTATATAGTCACCTGACCCCTATACATATCTACCTCCATCACTCCAGTATCCCTGCACATTGTTAATATGGTATGGAACTGACCCTGTATATAGTCACCTTACCCCTATACATATCTACCTCCATCACTCCAGTATCCCTGTCTCCTTACCCCTATACATATCTACCTCCATCACTCCAGTATCCCTGTCACCTTACCCCTATACATATCTATCTCCATCACTCCAGTATCCCTGTCCCCTGACCCCTATACATATCTACCTCCATCACTCCAGTATCCCTGTCCCCTGACCCCTATACATATCTACCTCCATCACTCCAGTATCCCTGTCCCCTGACCCCTATACATATCTACCTCCATCACTCCAGTATCCCTGCACATTGTTAATATGGTATGGAACTGACCCTGTATATAGTCACCTGACCCCTATACAAATCTACCTCCATCACTCCAGTATCCCTGTCCCCTTACCCCTATACATATCTACCTCCATCACTCCGGTATCCCTGTCCCCTGACCCCTATACATATCTACCTCCATCACTCCAGTATCCCTGTCCCCTGACCCCTATACATATCTACCTCCATCACTCCAGTATCCCTCCATATTGTTAATATGGTACTGGAACTGACCCTGTATATAGTCCCCTTACCCCTATACATATCTACCTCCATCACTCCAGTATCCCTGCACATTGTTAATATGGTATTGGAACTGACCCTGTATATAGTCACCTGAACCCTATACATATCTACCTCCATCACTCCAGTATCCCTCCATATTGTTAATATGGTACTGGAACTGACCCTGTATATAGTCCCCTTACCCCTATACATATCTACCTCCATCACTCCAGTATCCCTGCACATTGTTAATATGATATTGGAACTGACCCTGTATATAGTCCCCTTACCCCTATATAAATCTACCTCCATCACTCCAGTATCCCTGCACATTGTTAATATGGTATTGGAACTGACCCTGTATATAGTCCCCTTACCCCTATACAAATCTACCTCCATCACTCCAGTATCCCTGCACATTGTTAATATGGTACTGGAACTGACCCTGTATATAGTCACCTTACCCCTATACAAATCTACCTCCATCACTCCAGTATCCCTGCACATTGTTAATATGGTACTGGAACTGACCCTGTATATAGTATATAGTTCTTTTTTGTATTACATTGATATTAATTACTGCATTGTTGGGTTTAGAGCTTGCAAGAGAGGCATTTCACTGTACTTGCGCACGTGACATTGAAACTTGAAACTTTTCTCGTGAGAAAACAGCATATGTGACATCGATATTAGTCAGAAACATTTAAAAAAAAGTGTAAGCAGGTTAATTCTGGTCATAAAGTCAGCATCTTCCTAAACGGAGTTGTGAGATTTGAGTACAAGTGTTTTTCAGGACCTACCTGAGGGTTGGGTTTTTGATTTGCCCACTACCACAGGTTGAAACACTGTGGTGATTAATCTCTATCCAATAACACAGACAGTGAGGCAGACCTGCCCCCGCAGCTCACACTTTGTTTACATAAGACAATGCGACGCACATTTTTTTAAACTTGAGAAATACCTTAGCTAGATGTCAAAGTGTGTGACTAAAAGCTTCTCTGCAAAAATATCAACATTAATTACAGACTTCTTGACTATTTTGAGGAAGTGATACCTGCTTTATTCCTATGGTGTCTGGGACAAACATCAGTAACTGCCACACCGAACCACACCCCCAAGACCGGAATCTTGTTTTTTCAAAAGAAAAACAAATCGGTGCATTCAGTCGCTCTTTAAGAGGCAACTTCAGTATGTCCTAGAGCGCCCTCTGCTGTTTAATCTCATTAGTTGCTACTGGTTCCAGCAGGTATAGTGAGGAAGCAGGTACAGTGAGGCCTACTTTCAAATATAGAAACAGAAATACACTCAATGAAGTACAACCAAATCCACCAGTGAGTGGGATATCTATCTATCGATCTATCTATCTGTCTATCTGTCTATCTGTCTGTCTTTAGATGCATGGCTTTGATTTTCTCTGTACCAAAAAGCTAGTAATACTAGAAATTGCATGAGCAAATTGACCAATCCATGGTTTAGGAAAGGTAAGGGTGTGTCTATTTGAAGGTGGGATCTCAGCAGGGTATCACTTATTCCCAGACAGACACTGTTTACAGCCACCTCTCTCTTTCTCTCTCTCTCTCTCTCTCAATTTCAAATGTCATATTATGTATATATACAGTGTTATAACGACGTGCAAATAGTTAAAGTACAAAAGGGAAAATAAATAAACATAAATATGGGTTGTATTTACAATGGTGTTTGTTCTTCACTGGTTGCCCTTTTCTTTTGGCAACAGGTCACACATCTTGCAGCTGTGATTGCACACTGTGGTTTTTCACCCAGTAGATATGGGAGTTTATCAAAATTGGATTTGTTTTCCAAATCTTTAAAACATATATATATATATATATATATATTTTTTTTTTTGGGGGGGGGGGGTAGTTCAGCTTTAATATTGCAGATAGATTGTAACTTCCATCAATGTCATTGTCTGCATCACTTCCAATCCCCCATATGTTTATTTTTCCTCGCAAATACATATATATATATATATATATATATATATATATATATATATATATATATATATATATATATATACACACATACACACATATAAACACATATCCTTAAAAAAATATATTTCCCTTTATTACTTTCCAACCCCACCACCCCTTCCCCAATTGGCGTAAACTAGTGAACAACAACGCTTAGGCCTCTACTTCCAGTTTATACATACTATATACATTTTATGGACACAGTCAATTTTACAATAATTATATTTTGTTTGTTTTTACTCCTGAACTTCCTCTACCCTCAACATCGCCGATCATTTTCATGATGTCCATCCGGTTTGCTTCTGTATGCCATATCTTTCTAACTGTGCTCTTTCACAAAAGCTCTCAACCTATAACCTATATACTTATTATGGACACAGTATGCTTTACATTAGTTATCTTGTTGTTATTAGTTGTTGTTAGTTGTTATTAGTCCCATCCTTCAGCTCCATTCAACACCTCCCATCTATCTCTTAACACCATCCATATTGGATTTCTATTTGCCATATATTTTTCAACTGTACTGTGAGGCAGGGGAGTCAGGGAGGGGGGAGAGAAAGGGGGAGGGATCTTAATGGTTGCCAGACCCTCAGGGGTATTGCGTAATGGGTATTGCATCACGTCTGCCCCCCTAGAGAAGACCTGGAGTGTTTTACCTGGCTGGTTCTTGTCACGATCGTCTGAAGAAGCGGACCAATACGCAGCGCGTGGAGTGAACATGATGACTTTATTTAATAACGCAACCACGAAAAACAACAAATGACGATAGTGAAGTCCTCTGTAACACTGACAGAAACATGGAACAAAAACCCACAAAACCAAGGAGAAACCACACAGATTAAATATGGCTCCCAATCAGAGATAACGAGCCGACAGCTGACACTCGTTACCTCCGATTGGGAGTCATATGACTAATCAAGCACAATACCAAACATAGAAATCAACAACCTAGACACCCCAACATAGAAATACACCCAAACAAATGAAAATGAACAACCCTGGCTCAAATATCAAAGTCCATGGAGCCAGAGTGTCACAGTACCCCCCCCTAAAGGTGCGAACTCCGGGCGCACCAACATAAGGACTAGGGGAGGGTCTGGGTGGGCGTCTGTCCACGGTGGCGGCTCTGGCCCCGGTCGTGATCCCCACCCCACCACAGTCACAACCTGCTTCAGTAGCCTCCTCCCAATGACCACCCTCCAACTAACCCCACCTGGACTAAGGGGCAACACCGGACTAAGGGGCAGCACCGGACTAAGGGGCAGCACCGGGATAAGGGGCAGCACCGGGATAAGGGGCAGCACCGGGCTAAGGGGCAGCACCGGACTAAGGGGCAGCACCGGGCTAAGGGACAGTACCTGACTGAATGGCGGATCCTGGCTGGCTGGCTCTGGCGGATCCTGGCTGGCTGGCGGATCCGGGCTGGACGGCTCTGGCGGATCCTGGCTGGACGGCTCTGGCGGATCCTGGCTGGACGGCTCTGGCGGATCCTGGCTGGACGGCTCATGGCTGGCTGACGGATCTGGCTGCTCATGGCTGGCTGACGGATCTGGCTGCTCATGGCTGGCTGACGGATCTGGCTGTTCATGGCTGGCTGACGGATCTGGCTGCTCATGGCTGGCGGAAGGCTCTGGCTGATCCTGTCTGGCGGAAGGCTCTGGCTGATCCTGTCTGGCGGAAGGCTCTGGCTGATCCTGTCTGGCGGAAGGCTCTGGCTGCTCATGGCTGGCGGAAGGCTCTGGCTGATCCCGTCTGGCGGACGGCTCTGGCTGATCCTGTCTGGCGGAAGGCTCTGGCTGATCCTGTCTGGCGGAAGGCTCTGGCTGATCCTGTCTGGCGGAAGGCTCTGGCTGATCCTGTCTGGCGGAAGGCTCTGGCTGCTCCTGTCTGGCGGAGAGCTCTAGCGGCTCCGGTCTGGCGGACGGCTCTGAAGGCTCATGGCAGACGGGCGGCTTTGCAGGCTCAGTACAGACGGGCAGTTCCTGCGGCGCTTGGCAGACGGACAGTTCAGACGGCGTTGGGCAGACGGGCAGTTCAGACGGCGTTGGGCAGACGGACAGTTCAGGCCCCGTTGGGCAGACGGGCAGTTCAGACGGCGTTGGGCAGACGGACAGTTCAGGCCCCGTTGGGCAGACGGCAGACTCTGGCTGTCTGAGGCGCATCGTAGGCCTGGTGCGTGGTGCCGGAACAGGAGGTACCGGGCTGAGGACACGCATCTCAGGGCTAGTGCGGGGAGAAGCAACAGGGCATGCTGGACCCTGGGGACGCACCGTAGGCCTGATGCGTGGTGCCGGAAATGGAGGTACCGGGCTGAGGACACGCATCTCAGGGCTAGTGCGGGGAGAAGCAACAGGGCATGCTGGACCCTGGGGACGCACCGTAGGCCTGATGCGTGCTGCCGGAACTGGAGGTACCGGGCTGAGGACACGCATCTCAGGGCTAGTGCGGAGAGAAGCAACAGGGCATGCTGGACCCTGGGGACGCACCGTAGGCCTGATGCGTGGTGCCGGAACTGGAGGTACCGGGCTGAGGACACGCATCTCAGGGCTAGTGCGGGGAGAAGCAACAGGGCATGCTGGACCCTGGGGACGCACCGTAGGCCTGATGCGTGGTGCCGGAACTGGAGGTACCGGGCTGAGGACACGCATCTCAGGGCTAGTGCGGAGAGAAGCAACAGGGCATGCTGGACCCTGGGGACGCACCGTAGGCCTGATGCGTGGTGCCGGAACTGGAGGTACCGGGCTGAGGACACGCATCTCAGGGCTAGTGCGGGAAGCAGGAACAGGACGCACAGGACTCGGGGAACACACAGGAGGCTTAGTGCGTGGTGTAGGCACTGGTGGTACTGGACTGGAGACAGGAGGTGGTGCCGGAAATACCGGACCGTGCAGGCGTACTGGCTCCCTTGAGCACTGAGCCTGACCAACCTTACCTGGTTGTATGCTCCCCGTCGCCTGACCAGTACAGGGAGGTGGAATAACCTGCACCGGGCTATGTAGGCGAACCGGGGGACACCATGCGTAAGGCTGGTGCCATGTAAGCCGGCCCGAGGAGACGCACTGGTGACCGGATGCGTGGGGCCGGCCTCATGACATCTGGCTCAATGCTCAGTCTAGCCCGGCCGATACGTGGAGCCGGAATGTACCGAACCGGGCTATGCCTGCGTACAGGAGACACCATGCGCTCTACTGCGTAACACGGTGTCTGCCCGTACTCTCGCTCTCCACGGTCAGTCCAGGGAGTAGGCGCAGGTCTCCTACCTGACTTCGCCACACTCCCTTCTAGCCCCCCCTCAAGAAATTTTTGGGTAGTACTCTCGGGCTTCCAGCCTTGCCTCCGTGCTGCCTCCTCATATCGCCGCCTCTCGGCTTTAGCTGCCTCCCGCTCTTTACGAGGACGGTGATATTCTCCCGGTTGATCCCAAGGCCCCTCACCATCCAGAATCTCCTCCCATGTCCATGAATCCTTTATGGGAGTCCATAAATCCTGTGTAGGTAGGTCCTGTTGCCGCTTGACACGCTGCTTGGTCTTTTTGTGGTGGGTCTTTCTGTCACGATCGTCTGAAGAAGCGGACCAATACGCAGCGCGTGGAGTGAACATGATGACTTTATTTAATAAAGCAACCACGAAAAACAACAAATGACGATAGTGAAGTCCTCTGTAACACTGACAGAAACATGGAACAAAAACCCACAACCCCAAGGTGAAAACACACAGTATAAATATGGCTCCCAATCAGAGATAACGAGCCGACAGCTGACACTCGTTACCTCCGATTGGGAGTCATATGACTAATCAAGCACAATACCAAACATAGAAATCAACAACCTAGACACCCCAACATAGAAATACACCCAAACAAATGAAAATGAACAACCCTGGCTCAAATATCAAAGTCCATGGAGCCAGAGTGTCACAGTTCTCTGCTCCAGGGCTGGTTCTCTGCTCCAGGGCTAGTTATCTGCTCCAGGGCTGGTTCTCTGCTCCAGGACTAGTTCTCTGCTCCAGGGCTAGTTCTCTGCTCCAGGGCTAGTTATCTGCTCCAGGGCTAGTTCTCTGCTCCAGGACTAGTTATCTGCTCCAGGGCTAGTTCTCTGCTCCAGGGCTAGTTATCTGCTCCAGGGCTAGTTATCTGCTCCAGGGCTAGTTCTCTGCTCCAGGGCTAGTTCTCTGCTCCTGGGCTATTTATCTGCTCCAGGGCTGGTTCTCTGCTCCAGGGCTGGTTCTCTGCTCCAGGGCTAGTTATCTGCTCCAGGGCTAGTTATCTGCTCCAGGGCTGGTTCTCTGCTCCAGGGCTAGTTATCTGCTCCAGGGCTGGTTCTCTGCTCCAGGGCTAGTTATCTGCTCCAGGGCTAGTTCTCTGCTCCAGGGCTAGTTCTCTGCTCCAGGGCTAGTTGTCTGCTCCAGGGCTAGTTGTCTGCTCCAGGGCTAGTTATCTGCTCCAGGGCTAGTTATCTGCTCCAGGGCTAGTTATCTGCTCCAGGGCTAGTTCTCTGCTCCAGGGCTAGTTATCTGCTCCAGGGCTAGTTCTCTGCTCCAGGGCAGGGTGGACAGTACACATGTCCCTTCCTTGGAATAGTACATGTTTTTAAATGCTTATAAGTCCAAGTCCAACAGAGATTCCTTGTTACCTTCATGGCAATAAAGTTTTCTGATTCTGAAATCACACCTATTATTTTAGAGTGCATCTTAGACCAATCAGACACCATCTTAGACTAAAAGCATCCCTCAGATTGACTCATCCTGTCTGTAAGATGAGTTTTGGGTTGGAACTAATGCACATCCCCAGAATGTAAACAGAGGCAAGACTTCACAGGAACAGAAAGTATGGCTATTTTCAAGTCTATAAATCAATAGAAAGTTCAGAGACAGCAGCTCAGTAGAAAGGATATTTAATTATGTCTGGTCTGTGTCCCAAATGGAACCCAGGCCCCTACATAGTGTACTACTTTTGTCAAGGGGACATCCTTATCTGCATGACAGCAGCACTTTAGAAGTAATTCCATTTAGCCAACCAACCCCTCTGAAAGGGGGCGACTCCATTGAGATGATATAAGGAAGTAAATAACAGTTGGTCCAGAAGTCATTTCTAAGTTAATGGAGGACAGAGAGAGAGAGACAGAGAGAGAGAGACAGAGAGAGAGAGAGACAGAGAGAGAGAGAGAGAGAGAGAGAGAGAGAGAGAGAGAGAGAGAGAGAGAGAGAGAGAGAGAGACAGAGAGAGACACAGAGAGAGAGACAGAGAGAGAGACAGAGAGAGAGACAGAGAGAGAGAGAGCCATGTGTTTTGTACAGATGTTTAAAGAACAGAATCGTATTTCTTAAAGCTGTAATATCTCTGGAAGCTTTAAGGAAGCTGCAGCTATCTCCATCTCCGTTAAACTTTAATGTCATGAGGTCCTGACGTGGCCCAGTGGTGTTATGTCTCTCTCGCTCTCTCTCTATTCAATTTTTCAATTTAAGGGCTTTATTGGCATGGGAAACGTGTGTTAACATTGCCAAAGCAAGTGAAGTAGATAGTAAACAAAAGTGAAATAAACAATAAATATTAACAGTAAACATTACACTCAGAAGTTCCAAAAGAATAAAGATATTTCAAATGTCATATTATGTCTATATACAGTGTTGTAACAATGTGCAAATAGTTAAAGTACAAATGGGAAAATAAAAAAAGATGGTGTTTGTTCTTCACTGGTTGCCCTTTTCTTGTGGCAACAGGTCACAAATCTTGCTGCTGTGATGGCACACTGTGGTTTTTCACCCAGTAGATAAGGGAGTTTATCAAAATTGGATTTGTTTTCTAATTCTTTGTGGATCTGTGTAATCTGAGGGAAATATGTGTCTCTAATATGGTCATACGTTTGGCAGGAGGTTAGGAAGTGCAGCTCAGTTTCCACCTCATTTTGTGGGCAGTGTGCACATAGCCTGTCTTCTCTTGAGAGCCAGGTCTGCCTACGACGGCCTTTCTCAATAGCAAGGCTATGCTCACTGAGTCTGTACATAGTCAAAGATTTCCTTAATTTTGGGTCAGTCACAGTGGTCAGGTATTCTGCCACTGTGTACTCTCTGTTTAGGGCCAAATAGCATTCCAGATTGGTACAGTCTTTCCAATGTGTCCAGTAATTCTCTTTTTGTTTTCTCATGATTTGGTTGGGTCTAATTGTGTTGCTGTCCTGGGGCTCTGTGGGGTCTGTTTGTGTTTGTGAACAGAGCCCCAGAACCAGCTTGCTTAGGGGACTCTTCTCCAAGTTCATCTCTCTGTGGGTGATGGCTTTGTTATGGAAGGTTTGGGAATCACTTCCTTTTAGGTGGTTGTAGAGTTTAACGGCTCTTTTCTGGATTTTGATAATTAGCGTGTATCGGCCTAATTCTGCTCTGCATGCATTATTTTGTGTTTTACGTTGTACAAGACTCAATAGTGCATTGAAGCCAAATAAATTTGGCAAAGATGGCGTCTCATGGAGACATAGCTCAGTGCTGCCCCCTCTCATTGAGTGACTCAAGTTGAAGGCCGACCGGGGTACTGCAGGCTGACATTAGCGACTAAATTATCCTTATAACTTCTTCTGTGTGCGATTTTTAAATAATCAATTCAAGGACACACAGTGAGTGTACAAAAAATTAAGAACACCTGCTCTTTCCATGACTTTAGACTGATCAGGTGAATCCAGGTGAAAGCCATGATCCCTTATTGATGTCACCTGTTAAATCCACTTCAAATCAGTGTAGCTGAAGGGGAGGAGACGGGTTAAAGAAGGATTTTTAAGCCTTGAGACAATTGAGACATGGATTGTTTATGTGTGCGACTCAGAGGGTGAATTGGCAAGACAAAAAACATTTAAGTGCCTTTGAACGGGGTATGGTAGTAAGTGCCAGGCGCACCGGTTTGAGTCAAGAACTGCAACGCCGCTGCACAGTTTCCCGTGTGTATCAAGAATGGTCCACCACCAAAAGGACATCCAGCCAACTTGACACAACTTTGGGAAGCATTGGAGTCAACATGGGGCCAGCATCCCCGTGGAACGCTTTCGACACCTTGTAGAGTCCATGCCCCGACGAATTGAGGCTGTTCTGAGGGCAAAAGGGGGTGCAACTCAGTGTACATCTGGTGTATTAGAAGCAATTATTGGTACCATGATTGTCTTAGAATTATGTATTTTTTTACAAGACTGACCACGAAGATTGCAATTTTTCCATTAACTATAATGGGGATCCTGTTTTCTGAACTCCCGTGGCATCAATGAGAGGAGGCAATCGTTCTTCCCTGCACCCAAATCAAGCTTTGGAATCAGTTCAAACATGTCATTATTACTAACAAAGACCATTTCATGCACTGCATCCCAAATTGAACCCTATTCCCTGTACAATTCACTACATAGGGCCCTGGTCAAAAGTAGTGCACTATGTAGGGAATAGGGGGCCATTTGGGACGTACCCAGTGTAATAATGGCATGAGATATGATGATGAAATTTTACATGTAAACAACAGTTGCTTACGGGTCCTTTTCCAACGAGACAGAGTTAAAGATCAAGACACAAAATTAAACTGAATAAGAAATAGTGACATGAGGAAAATACACAGAATAACAACTACTGTTAATAGTGCCTCCTCTAACCACTACCAATACATCCACCTCCAACTACTGTTAATACTGCCTCCTCTAACCACTACCAATACATCCACCTCCAACCACTGTTAATACTTCCACCTCCAACCAATGCTAATAACCACTGTTAATACTTCCACCTCCAACCACTGTTAATACTTCCACCTCCAACCACTGTTAATACTTCCAACTCCAACCACTGCTAATAAACACTATTAATACTTCCATTTCCAACCACTGCTAATAAACACTATTAATACTTCCATTTCCAACCACTGCTAATACTGCCTCCTCTAACCACTGCTAATACTTCCACCTCCAACCACTGTTAATACTTCCACCTCCAACCACTGTTAATACTTCCACCTAAACCACTGCTAATACATGCACCTAAAATATTGCCAATACTTCCACCTTCAACCACTGTTAATATTACACCTTCAACCAATGTAAATACTTCCACCTCCAACCACTGTTAATACTTCCACCTACAATCATTGTTAACAACCACTGTTAATACTTCCACCACCAACCACTAATAAGCACTGTTAATACTTCCACCTCCAACCACTTTTAAAACTTCCACTTCCAACCACTGCTAATACTGCCACCTAAAACCACTGCTATTACTGCCACCTCCAACCACTGTTATTAAGCACTGTTAAAATGTACACCTCCAACAACTGCTAACACTTCTACCTCCAACCACTGCTAAAACTTCCACCTCCAACCACTGCTAAAACTTCCACCTCCTACCACTGTTAATACTTCCACCTCCAACCACTGTTAATAACCACTGTTAATACTTCCACCTCCAACCACTGCTAATACTTCCACCTCCAGCCACTGCTAATAACCACTGTTAATACTTCCACCTCCAGCCACTGATAATACTTCCACCTCCAACCACTACTAGTACTTCCACCTCCAACCACTGCTAGTACTTCCACCTCCAACCACTGTTAAAAACAACTGTTAATACGTCCACCACCAACCACTGCTAATAACCACTGTTAATACTTCCACCTCCAACCACTGCTAATAACCATTGTTAACACTTCCACGTCCAACTACTGCTAATGCTTCCACCACCAACCACTTAATACTTCCACCTCCCAGCACTGCTAATACTTCCACCACCAACCACTTAATACTTCCACCACCAACCACTTAATACTTCCACCTCCCAGCACTGCTAATACTTCCACCTCAAACTACTGCCAATAACCACTGTTAATACGTCCACCTCTAACCACTGCTAATACTTCCATCTCCAACCACTGCTAATACAACCTCCTCCAACCACTTGTAATACTTCCAACTCCAACGACTGCCAATACTGCCTCCTCCAACCACTGTTAATACTTCCACCTCCAACCACTGTTAATACTTCCACCTTCAACCACTGTTAATACTACACCTTCAACCACTGCTAAAATGTCCACCTCCAACCACTGCTAAAACTTCCACCTCCAACCACTGTTAATAACCACTGTTAAGACTTCCACCTCCAACCACTGCTAATAAGCACTGTTAAAACATACACTTCCTGTCACGGTTTCGGCCGAGGCTGCCTCTCTCCCTTGTTCGGGCAGGCTTCGGCGTTCGTCGTCTCCGGAATTCTAGCTGCCACCGTTCTATGTTCTGTGTTTCCTGTTTGATTAGTTTTGTCTGTTAGCCACACCTGTTTTGTGTTAGGTCTCATTATGCACCCTATTTAGTTCCCTGTTTGTGTGTATAGTGTTGTGTGTAATTGTCGCTTGTCAGATGGTTGCGTAGCTGTGTTATTTTTTCCAGTACGCCAGGATTAGTAGTGTCCTCCTCTGTTTAGGAGAGTTTTGCGCACTGTGTTTTCGTGCGATCGTGTGTTGACGCCTGTGCGCGTCTGTTTGGCCTCCTGCCGTTTGTGGATTATTTTTGCATAGTAAAGTCTTGTTGGACTGTACCTCTGCTTCTGCGCCTGATTCCCCACCACACCATCACTACATCGTTGACAGAATTACACACCCAAAACATGGAATCAGCGGGAGCCGAAGCAGCGCCGACGAGACTGGAGGTCCAGGTTCGGGAGCAACAGGAACAGATCCTCCAGATGGGAACCGCCCTGCAGGAGGTAATCACCACGCTCCGAGGCTGGGGCGCACCTCCAACACCTTCCTCACCGCCAGCCCAGCCAGCACCATCGGCCAGCCTGCCCATTCCAGCGCCAGAACACCGAGGGATCCGACTCGCTCTCCCGAGGGCCTACGACGGAACCGCGGCTGGGTGTCAGGGATTCCTCCTCCAGGTGGAGTTGTACCTGGCCACCGTACACCCGGCACCCTCGGGGCATGAGAGCGTGTCTGCCCTGATATCCTGCCTGTCCGGGAAGGCGTTGGAATGGGCCAACGCGGAGTGGAGGAAGATCGACGCCGCGAGTATCACCTACGACGAGTTCTCCCGCCGCTTTAGGGCGGTGTTCGACCATCCCCCGGAGGGGAAAGCGGCGGGGGAGCGTCTGGTCTTCCTCCGGCAGGGGAGGAGGAGTGCTCAGGAATTCGCGCTTGAATTCCGTACTCTAGCGGCTGATGCAGGGTGGAATGAGCGGGCCCTCGTCGATATATATCGATGTAGCCTAAGAGAGGACGTCCGTAGGGAGCTGGCCTGTAGGGACACCAGTCTCTCTTTCGACCAGCTGGTCGACATGTCAATCAGGTTAGATAACCTATTGGCCACCCGCGGACGTCCTGAGGGGGGTCCGTCCATTTCACCCTCCAGCGCATCCGAGCCGTGTCCTATGGAGCTCGGGGGCGCTGGCGCTAGAGATAGGAGGAGTCGGCAGGTGAGGGGGTCCATCCACCGCACCAACTGTGGTCGGGGAGGACACACCGCGGCTAGGTGCTGGGGATGGCCTCCTCGGGGAGATGACGACAGGTCCCGCACTGGGGATTCCCTCCAGGTGAGTAGGCGCCCCACTCACCCAGAGCTCACTGTTGCCCATTTTTGTATGCCTGTGCGTTTTCCGCAGGTGGCACCTCATTCCCAGTATAAGGCGCTGGTAGATTCAGGCGCGGCTGGGAATTTTATTGATAAGAAGTTTTGTTTAGAGTTAGGGTTTCCCCTTCTCCCTGTTGATGTTCCTTTTCCCGTTCACGCCCTAGATAGTCGTCCGTTGGGTACGGGCTTAATCAGGGAGGTCACGGCGCCACTTAGGATGTGTGCGCAGGGGAGTCATCAGGAGATAATTCAACTGTTTCTGATTGACTCTCCTGCGTATCCGGTGGTGCTGGGCATGCCCTGGTTAAGTACCCATAACCCCGTTATTTCGTGGCAGGAGAGGGCTCTGATGGAGTGGTCTGCTCAGTGTGTGGGTAGATGTTTGGGCGTTTCCATAGGGGCTACCTCGGTGGAGAGTCCAAACCAGGTGCCCGCATTGCACATTCCACCTGAGTATGGGGATTTGGCTATTGCGTTTAGTAAGGCGAGGGCGACGCGGTTGCCACCCCATAGGCAGGGGGATTGTGCGATAGACCTTCAGGCAGGAGCTGCGCTCCCACGGAGTCATGTGTATCCTCTGTCTCAGGAGGAGAAGAAAGCTATGGAGGTTTACATAGACGAATCACTGAGACAAGGATACATACGGCCGTCCACTTCCCCCGCGTCCTCGAGTTTCTTTTTCGTGAAGAAAAAGGATGGGGGTTTGCGTCCGTGCATCGATTACCGTGGTCTCAATCAGATTACGGTGAAGTATAGTTATCCACTCCCGCTGATTGCGACCATGACTGAGTCGTTGCATGGGGCGCGTTTCTTCACGAAATTAGATCTCAGGAGCGCGTACAACTTGGTGCGCATCAGGAAGGATGATGAATGGAAAACAGCCTTTAGTACCACCTCGGGCCATTACGAGTATCTAGTCATGCCATACGGGTTGATGAATGCTCCGTCAGTTTTCCAATCATTCGTGGATGAGATCTTCAGGGACATGCAGGGACAGGGAGTCGTGGTGTACATAGATGACATTCTCGTGTACTCACCTACCCGTGTCGAGCATGTGGCCCTGGTGCGCAGGGTGTTGCGGAGGCTGGTGGAGCACGACCTGTATGTGAAGGCAGAGAAGTGTCTGTTTTTCCAGGAGTCGATTTCCTTTTTGGGGTATCAGTTGTCTGCGTCAGGGGTGAAGATGGAGGTAGACCGAGTGTCAGCCGTGCGTAATTGGCAAACACCAACCACTGTGAAAGAGGTGCAGCAGTTTTTGGGGTTTGCGAATTACTACCGGAGGTTTATCCGGGGTTTTGGGCAAGTGGCAGCTCCCATCACGTCTCTCTTAAAGGGGGGCCCGGTGCGTCTGCAGTGGTCAGTCGAGGCGGACAGGGCGTTTGAGAAGCTGAAGGACCTGTTCACCTCGGCTCCGGTGCTGGCGCATCCGGATCCCTCTTTACCATTTCAGGTAGAGGTGGACGCGTCTGAGGCCGGTATTGGCGCCGTGCTTTCACAACGGTCAGGCGCGCCACCTAAACTCCGCCCCTGTGCCTTCTATTCCAAGAAGCTCAGCCCGGCGGAGCGAAATTATGACGTAGGGGACAGGGAGCTGTTAGCTGTGGTACAGGCCCTTAAGGTGTGGAGGCACTGGCTTGAGGGGGCTCAACACCCTTTCCTCATTTTGACGGACCACCGTAACCTGGAGTACATCCGGGCAGCGAGGAGGCTGAACCCTCGACAGGCTAGATGGAGTATGTTTTTGACCCGTTTCTCTTTTAAGATCACCTACATCCCTGGGTCACAAAACGGTAAGGCAGATGCGCTGTCTCGGCGGTATGACGGGGAGGAGAGGTCCGTGGAGCCCACTCCCATACTGCCGGAGTCGTGTCTAGTGGCACCGGTGGTGTGGGAGCTCGATTCTGAGCTCGAGCGGGCATTACGCACCGACCCTAGTCCACCACAATGCCCGGAGGGTCGGAAGTATGTTCCGCTCGAGTGTCGGGATCGATTGATCTATTGGGCTCACACGTCACCCTCCTCTGGACATCCGGGTATCGGCCGGACAGTGCACTGTCTTAGTGCCAAATATTGGTGGCCCACGTTGGCCAGGGATGTGAGGGTTTATGTTTCCTCCTGCTCGGTGTGCGCCCAGTGTAAGGCGCCTAGACATCTGCCTAGGGGTAAGTTACTGCCCCTGCCCGTTCCACAACGACCATGGTCCCACCTCTCGGTGGATTTTATAACTGACCTTCCCCTCTCTCAAGGGAATACTACACTCCTGGTCGTTGTGGACCGGTTCTCTAAGGCCTGTCGTTTGCTCCCCATGCCGGGTCTTCCTACTGCCCTACAGACCGCTGAAGCACTATTCACTCATGTGTTCCGGCACTACGGGGTGCCCGAGGACATTGTGGCTGACCGGGGTCCCCAATTCACCTCCAGAGTCTGGAGAGCTTTTATGGAGCGGTTGGGGGTCTCGGTGAGCCTCACCTCGGGTTACCACCCGGAGAGTAATGGGCAGGTGGAACGCGTAAACCAGGATGTGGGCAGGTTTCTCAGAACATACTGCCGGGACCGGCCGGAGGAGTGGGCGAGATATGTGCCCTGGGCCGAGATGGCACAGAACTCTCTCCGCCACTCCTCCACCCAACTAACCCCTTTTCAGTGTGTTTTAGGGTACCAGCCGGTTCTGGCACCATGGCATGAGAGCCAGATCGAGGCCCCCGCTGTGGATGAGTGGGTGCGGCGCTCGGAGGAGACGTGGAACGCTGCACACGTCCATCTGCAGCGTGCCATACGTCGACAGAAGACGAGCGCCGACCTACACCGCAGTGAGGGGCCTGTGTACGCACCTGGAGATCGAGTCTGGCTCTCTGCCAGAAACCTGCCCCTCCGCCTGCCCTGTCGGAAACTGGGTCGGCGGTTTGTAGGGCCATTTAAAGTCCTGAGAAGGTTGAACGAGGTTTGTTATAGATTACAGTTACCAGTGGAGTATAAGTGTATTAACCCCTCGTTCCATGTGTCCCTTCTCAGGCCGGTGGTAGCGGGCCCACTCCAAGAACATGAGATCTTGGAGACTCCTCCGCCCCCGTTGGACATCGAGGGGGCACCGGCGTACACCGTGAAATCCATCTTGGATTCTAGACGTCGGAGGGGGGGTCTTCAGTATCTAGTGGAGTGGGAGGGGTACGGTCCGGAGGAGCGGTGTTGGGTGCCGAGGAGAGACATTTTGGACCCGTCGCTCCTGACGGAATTCCATCGGGGGTATCCGACGCGCCCTGCGCCGCGGCCTCCGGGTCGTCCCCAAGGCCGGAGTCGGCGCGCGTCTGGAGCCGCGCGTCAATGGGGGGGTACTGTCACGGTTTCGGCCGAGGCTGCCTCTCTCCCTTGTTCGGGCAGGCTTCGGCGTTCGTCGTCTCCGGAATTCTAGCTGCCACCGTTCTATGTTCTGTGTTTCCTGTTTGATTAGTTTTGTCTGTTAGCCACACCTGTTTTGTGTTAGGTCTCATTATGCACCCTATTTAGTTCCCTGTTTGTGTGTATAGTGTTGTGTGTAATTGTCGCTTGTCAGATGGTTGCGTAGCTGTGTTATTTTTTCCAGTACGCCAGGATTAGTAGTGTCCTCCTCTGTTTAGGAGAGTTTTGCGCACTGTGTTTTCGTGCGATCGTGTGTTGACGCCTGTGCGCGTCTGTTTGGCCTCCTGCCGTTTGTGGATTATTTTTGCATAGTAAAGTCTTGTTGGACTGTACCTCTGCTTCTGCGCCTGATTCCCCACCACACCATCACTACATCGTTGACACTTCCAACCACTGCTAATCCTTCCACCTCCATCTACTGCTAATAACCACTGTTCTCTAGCCATTGTTAACACTTCCACGTCCAACTACTGCTAATACTTCCACTTCAAACTACTGCTAATAACCACTGTTAATACTTCCACCTCCAACCACTGCTAATACTGTCACCTTCAACCACTACTAATACTTCCACCTCCAACCAACGTTAATACTTCCACCTCCAACCACTAATAATACTTCCACCTCCAACCACTGCTAATACTTCCACCACCAACCACTTAATACTTCCACCTCCCAGCACTGCTAATACTTCCACCACCAACCACTTAATACTTCCACCTCCAACCACTGCTAATACTTCCACCACCAACCACTTAATACTTCCACCACCAACCACTTAATACTTCCACCTCCCAGCACTGCTAATACTTCCACCACCAACCACTTAATACTTCCACCTCCAACCACTGCTAATACTTCCACCACCAACCACTTAATACTTCCACCTCCCAGCACTGCTAATAATTCTACCACCAACCACTGCTAATAACCACTGCTAATACTTCCACCACCAACCACTTAATACTTCCACCTCCAACCACTGCTAATAATTCTACCTCCAACCACTGCTAATAACCACTGTTAATACTTCCACCTCCAACCACTGCTAATAATTCTACCTCCAACCACTGCTAATAACCACTGTTAATACTTCCACCTCCAACCACTGCTAATAATTCTACCTCCAACCACTGCTAATAACCACTGTTAATACTTCCACCTCAAACCACTGCTAATAATTCTACCTCCAACCACTGCTAATAACCACTGTTAATACTTCCACCTCAAACCACTGCTATTACTGAATTGGCCCCCTAACAGTATACCTTCTGGCCCTGAATATACAGACATACAGCATAAACAGTTGTTAGCATTGTAGGCCTGTGGAAATATGACCACAGACACAATCAGCTGTTAGAATTGGATGCTTGCAGGACAGAGCATTGCTGCGAATAGTTGGGCAGGGGAAATGACTGTAGATGACTATTGAACAAAGGGAGGAGGAAGATGAGAGGAGAGGGGTACTCACGTGAGGAGAGACCGCTGAGGGAAGCTGAAGTTGCCGTGGGAGATGCGGTCTACAAAGTTGAGAGGGATTCTCTGTATCTGCTCACAGTTGAGCATGACGAAGTCGTACTTACAGACCAGCAGGGAGTTGTCTGTGATCAGCACCACACGCTCTTTCTCGTTGTTCCAATGGTCAACCCTGGGGAATAGAGGTACGGATTTTTTATCAATCATTTGCTTAACAAAGTAAGGGCTCTATTCAATCTGTATGGCAGAAGTTCAGCGTTACAGCGTGATTTAAATGTAAAGGCAATGTTCCCGCGTTAGCGGAGACTGCATTCACGGTAAACGCTGCATGTGTCAGCACAATCGGAAATGACCTTTAAAGGCCCAGTGAAGTCAAAAACGTGATTTCCCACACTATGAGGTTGGAATAATACTGTGAAATTGTGAAAATTATGATAATTCCCTTTTAGTGTAAGAGCAGTTTGAAAAGACCGCCTGCAATGTCAGCCTGTTTTGGTGGGATGGAGTTTTGGCCTGCCTGGTGACATCACCAGGTGATAAATTAGTTAATAGACCAATAAGAAAGAGAGTTCCAAATCTCTCTGCCAATAACAGCTAGTTTTCAGTTTTCCCCTCCCCATTCAGAGCACTTTATAAACGTGTAGACTGATCTGGATTAGGTTGCTTTCATACAACTTTTTGATATGTTTTTATACTTTTTAAAACTATTAAACATTTGATATTTCTTGTTGTACGTCTTCATTCACTTTAAATGGGACTTTTTTCTCAGCATTCTAAAGCGCCCCATTGTGACATCATCACTTCCAACGTTCACTGTAAATGCAACAATGTAACTTTTGACAACTCAGAAAAAAAGTCAAAGCGTATGAAATCTTCCTCTATAATAACTGAATTATCTGGTACCGATCAAACGTTACAGCTGTTTAAGTAGCCGCATCAACAACATTTTCTCTAACTTTTTATAAACAACAGAACTTTTGACCACTATCCGAATGAGTTATACATTAGGTTAGAGGGTATGACATCTTGGTCTACCTCTCTGCTATTCAAATCTGTTCACGGAACAAATATATCCACGACGGATCTAACGATACAGCTGTTTTAGTAACTGCATTAACATATTTTCCCCAACTTTTTCCAAACAACTGCCATTTTGACCACTCCCCCAATAAGTCAGACAAAAACTTTGAGCATATGAAATCTTCCTCTACTTCTATGCTTTTCAAATCTGAAAATATTCGGAATAGCTTCTACCAATCAATAGATAGAGCTGTTGTAGTAACCCATCAACTGCTCTCTTTCTAGATGCAGTAAGTCATGTCAGAAGCTAGCAAATTCATTACTTACCAACAACAGCTGCAAATTCCAATAAAACTACATAACGTTTTGAAGTGCATTTTATTTGCTTTGACTAACAACACTATCATGAATCTAGCAAATATGTTTTGTGGGTCAGAGTGAAGTATTTACTTAGTTTCAAAGCACAAGCTTTAGCCATGGAGGTAGCAGGCCTGCCAAGGACCGTTGCCTAGCAACACAGTCACTCCCCTTTATATTTCACCCAATCACTTCTTTCAGTTTTCACATGCAACAACTGTAGTTTAGACACTAACCACAACCACACAACTACTGACCACAACCACACAACTACTGACCACAACTACTGACCACAAAAACAACACAACTCCTGACCACAAGCACACAACTACAGATTTTCTATGGGGTTGAGATCTGGAGACTGGCTAGGCCACTCCAGGACCTTGAAACGCTTCTTATGAACATTTTACATTTACATTTTAGTCATTTAGCAGACGCTCTTATCCAGAGCGACTTACAGGAGCAATTAGGGTTAAGTGCCTTGCTCAAGGGCACATTTACGTCATTTAGCAGACGCTCTAGTCCAGAGCGACTCACAAATTGATGCATTCACCCTATAGCCAGTGGGATAACCACTTTACAATTATTTATATATACTATCCCCCCATATATATACAGTGGGGGAAAAAAGTATTTAGTCAGCCACCAATTGTGCAAGTTCTCCCACTTAAAAAGATGAGAGAGGCCTGTAATTTTCATCACAAGTACACGTCAACTATGACAGACAAAATGAGAAAATAAATTCCAGAAAATCACATTGTAGGATTTTTAATGAATTTATTAGCAAATTATGGTGGAAAATAAGTATTTGATCAATAACAAAAGTTTCTCAATACTTTGTTATATACCCTTTGTTGGCAATGACACAGGTCAAACATTTTCTGTAAGTCTTCACAAGGTTTTCACACACTGTTGCTGGTATTTTGGCCCATTCCTCCATGCAGATCTCCTCTAGAGCAGTGATGTTTTGGGGCTGTCGCTGGGCAACACGGACTTTCAACTCCCTCCAAAGGTTTTCTATGGGGTTGAGATCTGGAGACTGGCTAGGCCACTCCAGGACCTTGAAATGCTTCTTACGAAGCCACTCCTTCATTGCCCGGGCGGTGTGTTTGGGATCATTGTCATGCTGAAAGACCCAGCCACGTTTCATCTTCAATGCCCTTGCTGATGGAAGGAGGTTTTCACTCAAAATCTCACGATACATGGCCCCATTCATTCTTTCCTTTACACGGATCAGTCGTCCTGGTCCCTTTGCAAAAAAACAGCCCCAAAGCATGATGTTTCCACCCCCATGCTTCACAGTAGGTATGGTGTTCTTTGGATGCAACTCAGCATTCTTTGTCCTCCAAACACGACGAGTTGAGTTTTTACCAAAAAGTTCTATTTTGGTTTCATCTGACCATATGACATTCTCCCAATCCTCTTCTGGATCATCCAAATGCACTCTAGCAAACTTCAGACAGGCCTGGACATGTACTGGCACTGCAGGGGGACACGTCTGGCACTGCAGGATTTGAGTCCCTGGCGGCGTAGTGTGTTACTGATGGTAGGCTTTGTTACTTTGGTCCCAGCTCTCTGCAGGTCATTCACTAGGTCCCCCCGTGTGGTTCTGGGATTTTTGCTCACCGTTCTTGTGATCATTTTGACCCCACGGGGTGAGATCTTGCGTGGAGCCCCAGATCGAGGGAGATTATCAGTGGTCTTGTATGTCTTCCATTTCCTAATAATTGCTCCCACAGTTGATTTCTTTAAACCAAGCTGCTTACCTATTGCAGATTCAGTCTTCCCAGCCTGGTGCAGGTCTACAATTTTGTTTCTGGTGTCTTTTGACAGCTCTTTGGTCTTGGCAATAGTGGAGTTTGGAGTGTGACTGTTTGAGGTTGTGGACAGGTGTCTTTTATACTGATAACAAGTTCAAACAGGTGCCATTAATACAGGTAACGAGTGGAGGACAGAGGAGCCTCTTAAATAAGTTGTTACAGGTCTGTGAGAGCCAGAAATCTTGCTTGTTTGTAGGTGACCAAATACTTATTTTCCACCATAATTTGCAAATAAATTCATTAAAAATACTACAATGTGATTTTCTGGATTTTCTTTCCTCAATTTGTCTGTCATAGTTGACGTGTACATATGATGAAAATTACAGGCCTCTCTCATCTTTTTAAGTGGGAGAACTTGCACAATTGGTGGCTGACTAAATACTTTTTTCCCCCACTGTATATATATGGGTGGATAGTATATATATATATATATATATATATATATATATATATATACACACACACAGTGCATTCCGAAAGTAGTCGGACCCCTTGACTTTTTCCACGTTTTGTTACAGCCTTGATGTCGTGTCTCACACACACACAGTCCCTTGCCCCTGTGCACACACACACACACACTCACAGTCCCTTGCCCCTGTGCACACAAGTAATCAATGGTGGCATGGATTCTCTCTCTCTCTCGCTCACTCTCAGCTCGGTGAGCCGGTAGGACGTGGCCTAAGCGTCCGCCTCCTCCGACACTCAGATTTCTGCTAGAAGCCTTCAGGGTCGCTGGGTGGATAGTTCACTAAGCAGCCAAGCCGAGCCGAGCCGAGCCAAGACAACAGCAGAAGAAAGAGCTGAAGTAACTTTGACTGGGTTAATAGAATGACTTTAACCTTGACTGGGCAGAGCAGAGAGCAAGGGGCTGTGTGGTGCGGAGGGGGGACAGAGGGGGGAGGAGGGAGCTGGGTTAAAGCATGATCCCAACAACAGAGTAGCTCCTCAGGCAAGCAACCGTGTGTGTCTCTTTGTGTCCATAATGCCTTCCTACTGCTAGCTGCTCCAGGAAGTGAATGGCTCTGGTCAAGAGTACTACATTGGTTCGTAAACTTTTTTGGCCGACGACCCCATTTTGATATCTGAAAATTCTCGCGACCCCACCCATTATGTAATTAACAGGCCAAATTGTGTAATTAACAGCCAATGGTTTTTTTTTGGGTGGGGGGCTATGGCAGTCAATTGCAAAACATTCTAACAGTATTTCTGTTCGTATTCTCAACTCACCATCACATACTTGTCACGCTCTGGCTCCGGGACTGTGTAGTTTGAGCCAGGGTGTATTCATTTGGTTGTGTTGGGTATAGGGTGTGTTCATTTGGTTGTGTTTTGGTTGTAGTGTCTTGTCTCGTCATGTGACTCCCAATCGGAGGTAACGAGTGTCAGCTGTCGGCTCGTTATCTCTGATTGGGAGCCATATTTAAAACTGTCAGGGTTCACCTTAGGGTTGTGGGTTTTTGTTCCATGTTTCAGTCTGTGTACTGAGGACTTCACTATCCGTCATTGTTTATTGTTTTCTCGTTCGTGCACTTTAACTTTAATAAAGTCATGTTCGCTACAAACGCTGCGCTTTGGTCCACTCCTTCCGTAGACGGCCGTGACAGAAAAACCCACCACAAAAGGACCAAGCAGCGTGTCCAGGAGCAAGGAGACTGGACATGGGAGGAAGCGCCGGGTAAGGAGATCGAGAGGCTGGCGATGGCCCAGGTGGGCAAATCGTGGTCCTGGGAGGACATGCTCGGGGGCAAGGGACCTTGGGGGAGGATCAAGGCCCTGGCGAGAGAGGAGCAACGGCGTCAGCAGGGCCATCGTCGGAAGGACGAGAGGCAACCCCAAAAAGTTTTTGGGGGGGGGCACATGGCTTGGGCGGCTGGGCAGCAGGAGGCTGCCACA